GACTACAAGGATGTTGTGAGGTTATGCAAGGATAAAATTAGAAGGACCCAAGCTCAAATAGAACTTAATCTGGCTACTGCTGTAAAAGACAATTAAAAAAAAGTTTCTGTAAATACATTAGCAGCAAAAGGAGGACTAAGGAGAATCTCTACCCTTTGTTGGATACAGGGGGAATCATAGTGACAAAGGATGAGGAAAAGGCTGAGGTACTTTATGCCTTCATTGCCTCAGTCTGTAATAGTAAGACCAGTTGTTCTCGGGGTACCCACCCCCCTGAGCCGGAAGGCAGGGACAGGGAGTGGAATGAAGGCCTCTTAATCCCAGGGGAAATGGTTAGTGACCTGCTACACCACTTAGACACACACAGGTCTGTGGGGCTGGATGGGATCCACCCAAGGTTGCTGAGGAAGCTGATGGCGGTGCTCGCCGAGCCACTTCCAGTCGTTTATCAGCCATCCTGACTAAGCAGGGAGGTCCCGCTTGACTGGACGTTGGCAAATGTGACGCCCATCTACAGGAGGGAGGATCCGGGGAACTACGGGCCTGTCAGCCTGACCTTGGTGCTGGGGAAGGTTCCGGAGCAGATCATCTTGAGTCTCATCACATGGCGAGTACAGGATAACCAGGAGATCAGGCCCAGTCAGCGTGGGTTTATGAAAGGCAGGTCCTGCCTGACAAACCTGATCTCCGTTTATGATGAGCTGACCCCCTTAGTGGATGAGGGAAAGGCTGTGGATGTTGTCTACCTAGACTTTAGCGAAGCCTTTGACACCGCTTCTCACAGCATTCTCCTGGAAACTGCCTGCTCGTGGCTTGGAGGAGCGTACTCTTCGTGAGGTAAAGAACGGGCTGGATGGCTGGGCCCAAAGAGTTGTGGTGAAGGGAGATAAATCCGGTTGGTGGCCAGTCACGAGTGGTGTCCCCAGGGCTCAGTACTGGGGCCGGTGCTGTTTAACATTTAATATTTATTAATCAACAGTCTAGATGAGGGGATCGAGGCACCCTCAGTAAGTTTGCAGACCAGGTTGGCGAGAGTATTGATCTTCTGGAGGGTAGAAGGGCTCTGCAGAGGGATCTGGACAGGCTGGATGGATGGGCTGAGGCCAACTGTATGAGCTTCAGCAAGGCTGAGGGCCAGGTCCTGCGCTTGGGTCACAACAACCCCACACAATGCTACCGGCTTGGGGAAGAGCGGCTGAAAAATGCCTGGTGGAAAAGGACCTGGGGGTGTTGGTCGACAGCCAGCAGAATATGAGCCAGCAGTGTGCCCAGGGGGCCAAGAAGGCCAATGGCATCCTGGCTTGTGTCATCACTGGCGTGGCCAGCAGGGACAGGGAAGGGATCTGAGCTGGTGAGGCCGCCCCTCGCTGAGTGGGTTCAGTTCTGGGCCCCTCACCCCAAAAAGGCCATTGAATGACTCGAGCGTGGCCAGAGAAGGGCAACGGAGCTGGGGCAGGGTCTGGAGCACAGGTCTGCTGGGGAGCGGCTGGGGGAACTGGGGGGGTTCAGTCTGGAGCAGAGGAGGCTGAGGGGAGACCTCCTGGCCCTCTGCAACTCCCTGCCAGGAGGGGGCAGAGACGGGGGATGAGTCTCTGGAGCCAAGGCCCCAGCGCCAGGCCCCGAGGGAATGGCCTCAAGCTGCCCAGGGCAGGGTTAGATTAGATATCAGGAAAAATTTCTTCACCAGAATGGTTATCAAGCCTTGGAACAGGCTGCCCAGGGAAGGGGTTGAGTCACCATCCCAGGAGGTATTTAAAAGCCGTGTAGACGTGGCACTTAGGGACCTGGTTTAGTGGTGGACTTGTCAGTGTTGGGTTAACGGTTGGACTCAATGATCTTATAGGTCTTCTCTAACCTAAACGAATATATGGTTCTATGATTAAGAGGCAATTAAGATTCCTTTAAAGTGACTTGCAGAGCTTTTAAAATAGGATAAGTGTGGGTATCAGCAGCACGGGCTGGTTCTCTGCGCCCTCGATGGGGCGATGTCTGCTATCGAACAGGATTGATTTTTGTGGTGCTGTGTGAGCTTGCGACAGCAACGGTTTGCAATCCTGCAAGGTTTTTTCCCCTGCTGTGGGTCTCGATTTCCTTCCTAGCTTGGAAAAAAAAAAATAATAATCCCTGAGCACCTGGAGCTCACAGCAGCCAGGGTGAGGAAGCTTTGGGATGCCAGGCTGAGGATTTGGCTACCTTTGATGCTCTGCCAAGCCCAGGCAGTGCCTCAAGTTGGCAGGATCCTTTCCCTGGAGGATTGCCCCCAGCTGCCTCCCAGATCGTGTTCAGGCTTCAGCATGCAATGGTTTTGCCGAGGCAGGATGCGGCCGAGCCGGCGTGGGGGGTAAAGTGGCATCTGCCAGCCTCCTCCGGCAATCCCAGCCCTCCCGCGTGGAGAAAACCTGTGGGATGGGGGCTTGGAAGATCCCAGAATTGTAAACTGCCTCCTTGGGGGTCAATCTTGGTTGTGGACCTCGAAATGGAGCACAAGATCTGTCCTGCTGGGCCCTGCGAGGCTCTGTGGGCCTTGAAGGCTCAGAAGAGATGGTCTGGCTGGCGTCGAAGGGGTCTGTGCTGTCCTGGCTGTCTCCTCTGTCTCCCTTTGGCTCCCACTGCTGGGAGTGAATCCCTAAGGATCGCCAGCGTGTCCTTTCCTTGGGCATGATCCCTTCAAATCCAGTTCTGCTCCAGTTAAAAATAAACACATGGTTTTTGGGGGGTGAACTGTCAGAGATGCTCATTCTCCCCTGGGGAGGCTGGACCCCCACGGACATGTGGGATGGGGATGGTGGGAGCATGGGAGAGGTGTCCTTGCCTCATGTCACACTTCGTTTTCCAGATCTACGGGTTACCATGGAAACATAAAAGTACCAAGAGCTTTTGCTGTGTGGCCTGCTGGTCTGCGGATGCTTTGCTGGGATGGCGGTGGGTGGCTGGGATCACTGTCCACCCATGCTGGGATGGGGTGGGGGGATTTATGAACACCGCCCACTTTTGTGCTTGCTCCATGGCTTTAAACACTTTTTTTGTTTTTTTTTTTTTTTTCAAACGTGGGCTGGGAGCAACTTGGCCGGTGCCTGCTGCTGCTTTATGGATTCACAGGACTTAAATTTGGAGATGCTGGATCTGGCCAGAGCTTGGCCATGGAGGGGAGATGGGGGTGGATGGAGATGTAGGGATGAGCTCCTCTGAGGTCACCCACGCAGGGCTGGTCCCCGTGGTTGTTGCTGGCATCTCCCGGGGGCTTTCCTGGGTGGGACATGGCAAAATTGGGAGCTGAAACCCCACTCCGGCTCTGAGGGAGATGGGGAAAGTTGTTGAGGAGCTTTGCCATGAGATGCCTTTGCAGCATCCCAGGGATGGGGCTTTCTTGTAGCACCAGGCTGGGGAGGGGGAGACCTGGGTGTGAAGACGGGGCCGTGGTGGGGCTTTTAAGTCATTTATGCAGTGATAATATTCAGCCCGGGGGTGCGTTGGAGGTGCGTCGCCCAGACATCAAAGAGAGGGGCTTTCTTAGTTGCTTCTTCCAAGCGTGGGGAGCCGAATCCACCCGGGACTTTCCCCCAGCTCTGGGGCTTGGCAGGGGAGATGATGCCCTGGACCGAACCCATGGGACTGGTGGTCGAGGCACGTCTGCATCCCTTCTGCCCCTCTGCTCCGCTCTGTGAGACCCCCCTGCAGGGCTGGGTCCAGCTCTGGGGCACCAACAGCAGAAGGACACGGACCTGCTCGAGCGGGGCCAGAGGAGGCCACGAGGATGCTGGGGGGCTGGAGCCCCCCCTGCGAGGACAGGCTGGGAGAGTTGGGGGGTTCAGCTGGAGGAGAGAAGGCTTTAGGGGAGACCTTAGAGCGGCCCCCCAGGGCTGAAAGGGGCTGCAGGAAAGGGGGGAGGGACTTATAGATCATAGGTGTGGGGATAGGACAGGGGGTGACGGTTTTAAACTGACAGAGGGGAGATTCAGATGAGATCTAAGGAGGAAATTCTTCCCTGTGAGGCCCTGGCACAGGCTGCCCAGAGCAGCTGTGGCTGCCCCCTCCCTGGAAGGGTTCAAGGCCAGGTTGGACGGGGCTTGGGGCAACCTGGGCTGGTGGAAGGTGGCCCTGCCCAGGGCAGGGGGGTGGGACTGAGTGACCTTTAAGGTCCCTTCCAACCCAAACCAGTCTGTGATTTGATGATCTCTTCCACGAGAGGAGTGAGCGATGAATGTCACCCCTGTGGCTGGAGATGCTGTAGTGGGGGGCACCAGGGGGGTGCTGTGCTGGGGGGTGCCACATTGGGGTACCAGCAGATGCAGCGGGGGACCAGGGATGCTGCACGATCTGAGGATGCTGCAGGGACCCTTTAGCATCGCTCCCTCCACCAGCTCTGCATCCTCTGGAGTGGCTCGGAACACTCAGATCTTCCCGCTTTAAGCACCCGCTCTGGTTTGGGCTGCAGATCTGGTAGCACAAGGGCTGGGGGGAGCTTGAATTTATTTCAAAATCACCTCTGCCTTGGCTTGGGCACGGGGCAGCCTGGGTGTGCTCTGTTTTGCGCCACATTCCCTGAACGCTTCACTAAACAGCATTTGTTTTCCTTAGGGATTATTAACTCTGTTTGTTTTAGATAAGTTTTGCATCAGGCCCAGCTTGCGCATACAAGTCTGGGAAAGATCATAAAGCCTTAAAAAAAAAAAAGTATTTAGAAAAAAGTTGGTATGTAAAAGCAAACACCAGGGGTGAGAGTGGATTTTCCCAGTGTCTTAAGCTAGCGGGAGGGGTGAAGCCGCTCGGTGGGAAGCTCTGCTGGGTGATTTGGCACCGAAGGAGAGAACTGGGGGCGGAATCTGATGCTAAATTCGAGTCCCAGTGCCCAGCAGCACCCCAGCCCTGGGCGAATGGGGGTGCTCAGGCCCCCAAGGGGCATCGCCAGCCTCCAGCTGCGGTGGCAGATTTCCACTCGGGGACTTTTGTGCCCGGTTTTGCTCAGAACACCACCTCCAGCCCCATGAAAACACAAGCTGCTTTTTACTTCCCACAATTTTATTTTTTTCAAGCAAATGTTACATTTAAAGGGGCAAGATCCCCCCAGCTCCTCGTCCCTGCTTGCTCTGACCCTTGAAGGTACAATTCTGGGTTGAATCTTCCCTTTCCTTCCCAAGCCAGAAGGGAACCCTAGAGCCAGAAATACTAAGGCAGGATGAGAGCCAGGGTGTAAATTGCGGGGGTGGGGGGGCTTGTGCTTCCCCTTCCTGGGGTCCCCAGGTGATGGTGGGGCCAAACCCAGGCACAGGTCACTGGGAAGGGGTTAATACCTGTGTTTTATGGAAGAAAAGTGGTTCACGAGGAGACAGGCCCTTTCCCAGGGTATCACCTTCCCTGTCCCTCTGCTTCGCTGTCAAATGGACACAATTTTCTTTGCTTCATATACCATGCAGTTGCCTGCTGCAGTTTAATTGTTCTTAATTCCCTTTTTAATTAATTGCCCTTCCTGCCCTTTTAATTTCAGGAGCCGGTGATGAGGCAGGGAAGAGCCTGGCTCTCATGGGACCATCTTTGGTCCCATTTCTCCTCATTTTTGATATTTTTTTCCTCTCCAACTCACAAAAAGCCAGGTTCATTAACGGCACTTTGTTAGGCAGGGTGGAGCGCTGAGATGCACCCCGTCTCCTCCTCCCCAACAACGTGACTAATCACTTCAGATCAGGATTTCCGTTGCCCAGCCCAGACGTGCACCTTTCCTCTTGGCTGGGCATTTAGCACCTCCTTGACCCTTTCCTCTTCCAAATTGTGGCCAGTCTGGAGCGGGGAGCAGCTCGGTTGTGGGGTGGCAAAGCCAAGCCCAGCTCTTGAGCCAGGCTTAGAGTAGGATTCATCCTCAGGGAGCAGTTTATCAGGGAGCAGAGTCTCCCATGTACCCCAAAACTTCTCCCACCCGGTAAGTTAATTTTCCATCCTTGCCATGTTGTGGTGGGCTGGGGTTGAGCTGGTCCCGGGGTGACTCTGACCACGGCTCTTTGCTGCCTTATTCCAGGAGTGAGAGGTTTCGGAGGAAGAAAAAAGTCGCCCCGCTTCTGTGGTCGGCGTTTGCGCGCGCATTAAGCTTTCGGCATCCCCCTTTCCCCAGGCCGGGATGGTTGAATCGAAGGTGTTGGAGGTTCCCCAAGTACGTGATGCTTTTTGCTTTGATCCCACTGGGCTGCTCCTCTCCTTTCTGCCTGGCTCGGTGGTGGTGGCAGCACGTTTGGCTTCGGACCTGCGGTGGCCGGTGCCAGTCGGATGCTTGAGCCAGGGCTGGGTTTAAAAATCTCCCCCCAAGTCATAGCCACGGGCATTGACTTGGGCGCTTTGGGCTTTTGTGGTTGAAAACCCACTGGGGGCTTATTTTTTTCCTCTTGAATTAATTTGTTTCCTTTTGAATTTCGGCATTTAACCTGTGTGGCTGAGGATCCTCGGGAACTGCGTCTGCTTGCCTGGCTTTTATAAACTCTGTATATATCAAACCTCTGGTGGCTGCGGGGCAGTGAAACGTGAATGTAGATCGAAATAAATCCCTTGAGGAACCCCCGCACCTGCTCATCCAGAGGTGGGGTGATGCCTCTTGGGCAGGGTTTTGGGGATGGCTCCGATGGGTTTTAACCTCATCCCAACGCTTTTCCTGCTGCAGGTGACCAGTGGCAGCCGCGATGAGAGCTCCGGCCCTCGCCTGATGCCTCTCCTGCTGATAAAAATGATCAACAAGTCTCGTGAGTCCCCACGGTGCGGGGGTCCTGTCTCCCTCTTTCCAAGCAGGGATGGGGATCCTGGAAACTTGGCTTTGGGGGTAGGATGCAGCTTCAGTTGGGTGATGGAGTATTGGGGTATCATGGGCCAAGTTGGGACAGGGAGGGTGATTTCTGGGGTCCTTGATCCTCTGGAATTGGGCACCTGGTAGCCCTCGGGCTTTGTGGTAGAAAAATGGGGTGGAGGCAGGTGGAATGCGGGTTGTTTGTGCAGCCTTTGATGCGAGGTGGATGGGAGGAAACATCACAGCGGCATTTGGACCCAGGATAAAACCAACTTGGCTCCATCTTGGAGCTGCTCCTCCTGGGGTAGGGGGGGGTGACACACTGTGCCAACCAGGACCCTGATGCTCCCTGGGGAGGTGGCTTTGCTGGGGACAGCTCTGCCATCCCAGATCCCCAGGAGCCTGCAGGTCCCCGGTATCCAAACTCTGGGTACTGGCTTGATAGTGTTTTTCTTTTCTCCTGCTCTCTGGGCACACAGGAGGGAAGATACTCGGGGTGCTGGCGCTGTTTCTGGTGATGGTTTGGTACTCGATCTACCGGGAAGACAGGTACATACAGCTGTGAGTGGCTTTTATTAAAATTTAAAGGACCTCCTGCCATGTCCTTCGCTCTCGGGAGGTGGCATCGTCCCGCCCGTCCTTCGCATAGAGCATCGTCCCGCTGGATCCGGGGGGACTGGGGAGGTGCCGCTGCCAGAGGAGGGGGGGGCATGATACACTGTTCCCCCTTGGCGTGTGTTGGCGGTCAGGCTCTGCGGGGGTTTTTGGCAAATGCCAGGGTTTGTCTGAGCCCGGGAGGAAGGGAAAACCCCGTTCTCTTCCCAGTCCTGCCAATGCTGATGGAAACAAGGAAAGTGGAGAGAGCGTGAGGTCTGTGAGCAAGGCAAGAGAGACCTCTTCTGATGTGAGGCTGCAAGCCCAGCAAATACCCAGAGCAGAGCTTTAAATCTGGCCAGCAACATCCCCAGAGCCCCCTTCGCTGGGAAATGGATGCAAAGGAGCAGGCATCACTTTTTTTTTTTTTTTAACCTCTTCCCTTACAGCTTTTATTTCCCCGTGCAAGAAAATAAGACGACGTGTCCCCTTGGGGAGGTGGAAAAGAAAGCGGCGCAGCTAATCGGGAAGTGAGTAGCGGGGTTGGGAGCAAGGAGAGGTGGGGGGGACACACGCAAAGCCAGGACAACCCCCCTGTGCCGTGCCGTCCCCCCATCCCGTTCTCACCGGCCCTTTGCTCCTCGGCAGCTACACGAGGGACCACCCGCTCTTCTTGCAGCTGAAGGACTATTTTTGGGTGAAGACGCCGTCGCTCTACGAGCTGCCCTACGGCACGAAAGGAAGCGGTAAGCCTCGGTGGTGCTCGCTGTGGGGTTCTGTCCATCCATCTGTCCGTCCTGCTGCCGCTCCCCAGGAGTTTCAGCTTCCCTCTTATTAAAAACATCTGCATTGATTTTGGATTTTTTTTAGAGGGGGAAAACTATTTTCTTTTTTTCTCATCCCTAGCAAGTTGTTTACTTTATTTTTAGATTTTGCGGCACGGATCTACTTGTCCTGGGTGCGTGTGGTCCCTCTAAAATGGTTTAGGGTGGGCTAGGCTTTATTAAGCACCAGCCAAGGATTATCTGCCCAGATCTTGGGGGAGCTGGGATTAATGGCTGGAGGAGATATGGCAGGGATGGGGCAGCACCCAGGATGTTGTAGCAGGCAGGAGCTGCCTTGCTCACCTTCTCGCCCTCGCTTTGCAGAAGATGTCCTCCTGCGCTTGCTGTCGATCACCCACTACTCACTGCCCGAGAGCATCCAGAGGTAATGCCGGGGTGGGTTTGGGGGCTTTTCTGTCTTTCTCTTCATCGTTGCTCTCTTGGGAGGGGGGAATTTGCACCTTGTGGGCCCCAGATTTGACCAAATGAACCTCTGCAACCCAGGAATGGTGGACGGAGATTTGTAGAGTGGACAACACAGCGTTAAACCACCCCCTCCCACCTCCCTGGAGGGGTTTAAAACCACCTTGGTTTAGAGTGGGGGGTTAAAACCACCTTGGTTTAGAGCAGATATGGTTGAGACAGGGCTTTTCTCCTGTAGCCTGAAGTGCCGGAGGTGTGCAGTGGTGGGCAACGGCCACCGGCTCCGCAACAGCTCCATGGGGGAGACCATCGACACCTACGACGTTGTGATCAGGTACAGCCCTGGGGCTGTCCCCTTCACCCCCCTCCCTGGTGCCACCTGCAGGAGTTGACAGGGGTGATGTCCCCATCTCCATCCCCCAATCCCTTCCAAGGTTGAACAATGCCCCGGTCCATGGTTACGAGCAGGACGTGGGCTCTAAGACCACCATGCGCCTCTTCTACCCGGAGTCGGCCCACTTCAACCCCAGGACCGAGAACAACCCCGACACGTTGCTGGTGCTGGTGCCCTTCAAGCCCATGGACTTCCAGTGGATGGAGGCCATCCTCAACGACAAGAAGAGGGTAAGAGTTGGTGGGAGTCAGGTCTAGGGTCCAACCCTCATCCCCCCACCTTGGGGCTTCTTACTGGGGCACCATTGGACACCTCTGTCCTCTTGCAGGTTCGGAAAGGGTTTTGGAAACAGCCTCCATTGATATGGGACGCTAACCCGGAGCGCGTGCGCATCCTCAACCCTTACTACATGGAAGTAACTGCTGCTAAACTGCTCAACCTCCCTATGAAGCAACCACGGAAGGTCAAACAGGTAAAGGGGGGTGGATGACCACCCCCTGAGGGGTGATTGTCCTCCCACATGGCCGTCCCCGTGCAGTTCACTGAAGGACACAGCTCCTTGTAAGTCTTCTTCTCCCCCCCTCTCCCTCCAGAAGCCCACCACAGGGTTGTTGGCCATCACCTTGGCACTGCACTTCTGTGACCTGGTGCACATCGCGGGCTTTGGCTACCCTGACTCGGCCAACAAGAAGCAAACCATCCACTACTACGAACAGATCACGCTCAAGTCCATGGCGGTAAGGATCTACCTCTACTCTTTGTCTGTGTTCTCCCCCATTTTTTCCCCCAGGATGGGGGATCTTGGAACCCTGCTCCGTTCAGTGACACCAGTTTTGGGCCCCTCACTACAAAATTGAATGACTCGAGCGTGTCCAGAGAAGGGCAACGGAGCTGGGGCAGGGTCTGGAGCACAGGTCTGCTGGGGAGCGGCTGGGGGAACTGGGGGGGTTTAGTCTGGAGAAGAGGAGGCTGAGGGGAGACCTCCTGGCCCTCTGCAACTCCCTGCCAGGAGGGGGCAGAGAGGGGGGATGAGTCTCTGGAGCCAAGGAGCCAGCGCCAGGCCCCGAGGGAATGGCCTCAAGCTGCCCAGGGCAGGGTCAGGCTGGCTCTGAGGAAGGATTTCTGTGCAGAAGGGGCTGTTGGGCGTTGGAATGGGCTGCCCAGGGCAGGGGGGGGTGTCCCCATCCCTGGAGGGGTTGAAGAGTTGGGCTGAGCCAGCGCTGAGGGATCTGGGGGAGTTGGGAACAGTCAGGGTGAGGGTCATGGTTGGACCGGAGGAGCTTCAAGGGCTTTTCCAACTGAGATGATTCTGTGGGGGGCTTTCCCCACGGGCACCCCTCGCCCCCCTTCCATGGTGGGTGTTGAGTTTGGATGGTCATTGCCCAACTTCCCCCTGTAGCCCAATGTTTTTGTAGTTAGGATGGAGTTGGGTCTGGATTATGTGTGAGCAGAGGGGCTCAGGGCTTGGGCAGGGTGACCTCCCTCTTTTTGGGGGGCTTCCTGGCTTCAGCTGAAGGTCAAGGTCAACGCTAGTGGGGTGGACAAGGCCGGGACGGGGCCAGAAGGAAAAGGCTCTGGTGTCACCCCCTGCTCCCCGTCTCCTGCAGGCATCAGAGCACAATGTCTCACACGAGGCGGTGGCCATCAAGCGGATGCTGGAGCTGGGTCTCGTCAAGAACCTCACCTACTTCTGAGGCCACCGGGGCTGCACAGGGACTGCGTTGTCCCCCTGCCCCACGCAGAGAGGGGGGGACACTCTGCACCGGCATGCCCAGAGCTGGCTGAGAGCAGAGCATCCTTGTCACCGCTGCCCCCTGGCCCTGGGACTCTTGTGAGGGAGCGGGGCCGGGGTCTGGGGGTGGCCGCGCTGGACCGCGGGGCCCCCAGCCTGGGGGTGGCTCTTGTGGGGGGCGCAGGGAGCCCCAGGGGATGGGCCGTGATGACGGCCGGTGCCTTTTCCTACCGACGCACTGAAGCTACAGAGGACCTTGGGGGGGATCTTGGGGGTGAGGGGTTTTCCCTCCCAGCGGGCCTGGGGG